TGGTCTTTTTTAGGTTTAGGTTTAGGAGAGACTTTAAAAGTTCATCTCTCCAGCCTCTGTTACATTTTGTAAAGGTTGTTTGTTACCTCTATTTAAACACTTTGACAAGAGTTCTTGCCTGAAAAGGGCTGCTCCATTATATTTTCAGAGCAATTTGATATTCTCTTACGAATACCTGAAGTCTGATTTTTATTAACTTCTTCCTGTAATTTAGTTCTGAATAAGTCAACTGTGGTAGTGTCAGAGTGATTGCAGTGAAACACTGGCCTTTGTTTAACATAATAATCTCCTTGCTTTGTAAAAGATTGTTTTAACAATTTGTAGTTTGGTTTCTGTTGCAATGATAAACATATTTCTCTGGTTAGGGTTCTGTTGTAATAAAATACCATGACCAAAAGCAACATGGGAGGAAAGAGTTTATTTTGCTTATGCTTCCATATCACAATTCATCATCATGGGAAGTCAGGGCAGAAACTGATGAGGGGCCATGGAGGAGTGCTGCTTACTGGATTGCTTCTCATGGCTTGCTCAGCCTGATAGCATCCAAGACCACATGCTTAGGGGTGGCACTACCTAAGGTGGTACAGGCCCTTCTACATCAAACATTAATCAAGAAATTCTATCATAGGCTTGCCCACCAGCCAATTTGATGGGGGCATTTTCTCTATTGAAGCTTCTGCTTCCCAGATGACTATAGCTTATGTCAAGTTGACATATAACTAGCCCACACAGCACCATAACCAAAACTAAATTGGGGAGGAAATAAAAAGAGTTCATTTAATCTTGTAGGATAAGGCCAGAGTTTACCCAGAAACAACAGAGGAACCCTACTAGATTGCTCAGGTGCATTTTTGAGAAGGTGCATGTCCTCCCCATGGGATGCATAGGCCTTTCTGGTCTGGGACCTCCTACTTCAACTAGAAATTAAGAAAATGTCTCAGACATGACAACAAAACAATATGACGTGATTTTAGAGGGTCCTTCTTCCCAGGTGACTCTAGATTTGTGTTAACAGCTGAAGCTGTGATAAGGCAGGATAAAAAATAAGTCATCTAGCATATAGTTTCTAAAAATAGTTTTTAGCTTTTGAATTCTATAACAAAATACATGGTTATGACAACATAAGGGCAATCTTTAGGGAAGAAGAAAACAGAACAAGATAAGAAAGACTTTGGTGTGATCTCTGCTTTCTTGAAAGTTTAGGGAAAATATTTGTGTTTGGTTCAAGCCATAATAACTTCTATGGGTAGATATTTTGTTTTTTGACAGAGACTTTGTAGCCTTGGGTGGCCTTGAATGGCCTTGGACTTAGAATCCTGCTTTCTGTGGCCTCCTGAGAACAGGGTTTACAGGTAGGAGCTTCCATACCAGTCTTGCCAGTTTTATGATCATGTATCTTAGACATAACTTACATTTTTTCCTCTTATAGATACAAATTAATTTATTTTCTTTTAAGCAAGAAAAATATTTACTCACTTTGCTAGCTGTGGTAATAAAGGGCCATTTAAATTTTTTTTTACTATGTACCATAAGTGAAAGAAGTGTATAATTCATGTTATTTACATAGCTTTTAGGCAAAGTAAATACCATTTACCAGTGTGATAAATATGTAGAAAGCTTATTCTGCAGTTTTTAAAGTGATAAACTATCATTATCTAAAGTTTTATCTGACAAACCACTTTCTGTAAATAATTGGTATGTTATTATCCCTGATTTTAACAGCTGGTTCAATTTTTCTTTAAATATTGGGTCATCAGTATTATTAAACTTTTGTTTAAGGCTATTAGATCAGGATAAAACCTAGAAAACATGCTTGTGCCACGTAAGTAGTAACGAGGCAGTAAGTCAGAGGACTAGTAGTGCAGATCCCAGGTTCAGCGAAACAAACATTCAAAATTCATTTCTGCTGTTGTGCAGCCTTGGGACAGCTCTTAACCTCTTCGACCTTAGTTTCTTTCTCCATCTGTGGAGACAAGATAGTGTCAGCAAGTAAATTTCTTTAGTACTAGAAGTTATGGTGTATTTCTGTCACCAGATCATTAAATTAGAATTGATTAAATTAGAATATTTATAAAACAGCATAGTATGTAAGTAATTTTCAGTTATTAATTATGAAAATATTGTAGTTGTTTTTTAAAAATTCTCTAAGGTCAATGTTATGTCAGGATATGTCATTATTTTTATAAAGGTTAATTTTTAAAACATGCTAGTGTTGATAAATGTACTTGTAGGGGTTTTTTCTGTTTGTCTGTCTGTCTGTGTGTGTGTTTGTTTGTTTGTTTGTTTGTTTTAATTGGGACCAGTGAGGCAAGGTAATGGCTCAGCTGATAAAAGTACTTGCCACCCAAGCCCAGACACCTGATTAGAATCATTGGAACCTACATGAAGGGAGAGAACTGACTCCTGAAAGTTGTTTCAGACTTCCTTCATGCCTCATGCCTACTTGCACTCATTAAAAAAAAAATTGTTTTAAAACCTTAAAGGTTGGTATATAAATGATATTAATGTAATGTTAATATCTCTTTTAGGAGAAATTTTATGCTTTTATGTATAAACGTACATGCTTGTGAATTAGCTGTTTCACTGTCCTTTATGCCAGTTGTACATGTATGTATTTAGACATCTAAAAACAAAAACAATTATCAACAGACATGATCTGTTTGTTATTTTTTAACCAGAATAATGTGCATAATTCACCCATGAAAGTTGCTATTATGACTAGTCTAGAATTGATGGTATTTAAAAATGAGAATTCTTCATATATATATTTCCCCTGTATATATTTATGAGTTGTGATAGGTAGGCAGAGTGATTGGTCTGCCTTAGACCCATGATTCTTTTCCATTTTGAAACAGGGTCTCAATTGTAGCTCAGATGGCTTTGAACTTGACGTGATTCTCCTGTGTGGACCTCCCAGGGCTGGGCTTGCAGTTGTTACTTATGCCTTGCTGAGACCTGTGATTCTTATCATTATAATATTTATGTCAGTGATTGACAATTGGAATAGTGGAGTATGTTTGAATTTCTGAGAAGTCTTCCCCCAAAGACATTAAATTGGTGTATGATAATTTATTTACTTAAAGACTGTTCAAAACATAGGAAAATTTGCTTTTCTGTTTAGAAGTTTGGTCAATCAGCATATTTTTGTTACGTTAGTTATTAAGTGTTTCTGGTGAATTTTTCTTCTAATACTCTTAGGATCTGAGGGGTTTTGTTTATTATGCAAGCATACATTGCTTTAGAAGTAACTAAAAGAGATCTGGAGAAATGACCCAGTGGTTAAGAGAGTTTGGTTCACAGCACCCAAGTTAAGAAGCTCACAATTTCTGTAACTCTAGGTCTCTGACATCTGATGCTCTCGTCAAACCTTTTCAGCCATTTGCACAAAGAGGAGAAGAAAAGAACAACTACAGTTACTGTACATGGATGGAGTGCTTACAGTTGTCAGGCAGTGTTCTAAAAGTGCTGAATACATAGAGCTAGCTGTCTTTATGACAGCTTTCTGAGGTAGACTCTAGATCCTTCTTTCTCTGAATTGTAGGAAGTTTAATTAAATAGCCTTTGGATTACATAGTAGTCAGGGTTCAAGGATTTGTATATGTCTCTTACAGATTTTACCATTAGGGTCACTATTTGAATATCTTATAGAGGTACATCAAGTGTTTACTCCTACCTAAGCATCTCCTGAACTCTGATTAATAATGAGTGATTAAACTGGAATATGCTTGATAGAAAAGATACCAACTCTAGCAGATATGTAAAGCGTTAGCTATCTGTTGGGAATCAAAATTTCAAAACCTGACAACGCTGACCTTTAAAAATGAAACTGGGGAACTGTATTTCTGTGTAGAGAACCATGATATCTCTTACTCTGTACAAACTTTAATTCAAAGTATATCAAAGACTTAAGAACTAAAACTCTGAAATTAAGCATGAGCATGGTCAAGTGCTTTCTGAATAGGACTTGAAGAATTAAAAAATGCAATTACATGAAAATATTCTTTTGTAGAACAAAAGGAAAATAGCAGAGTCAAGAGATGGCCTACTGAATGGATGGAACTAGAAACCTTGCCAACTATGCATCAGATAGGATACTAACACCTAAGATATATGAAGAACTGCCCGACTTATACACTAAAATCCAAACTATCTAACCAGCAAATGACTGAACAGACAATTTCAGAAGAAATACAAATGACTAATAAATACTTATAAAAATGTTTATCATTTTTAACTAATAGAGAAATGCAAAATGCAAATGCTTTTGAGATTCATTCTCACTCCATTAGAATAGCTGTCATCAAAAAAAGAGACAACATACACAAGTGAGAATGGGGGAAAGGAACTTTTCATTGATGGTGGGAATGGAAACTTGTGTAGGCTCTATGGAAATCAATATGGCAGCTAGCAAGAATTGTCATTTCTCTGTTTAGGGCTCTAGGTCAACAAACCATAGATATACTTGCACACACATGTTTTCTATTGCTGTAGTAGTATATCTACATATACTACTAGGAATATATCTACATATAATAGCTAGGAAGTATATCTGTGTAGATGCCCATTAGGTAGATAGATAAAGAGAATGTTGTGTGTATCTATGTGGAATTTTATTGAGCTGTAAAATACAGTGAAATCATTTACAGTCTTTTAAAGGAAAATGCATTTAACTGGAAATCATTATGTTAAGTGAAATAAGCCAGACTTCAGAAGGAGGTATACTACATTTTATAAGTAGAACCTAGATTTAAAATTACATATATATATATATATATATATATGAAAATAAAAATGATCTGACATTGAAAACTACTAAATATTTTCTAACTTTTCCAGTGTGGTTTCTAATGGAACTGATTTGATTTTGGTGAATCAATGCTTATTATGGTTATAGTATTCATGAATGTATTATTTCATCTGGTACAGTGGTTATTTAATAATGGGCTTGATTGGAATATTCACACAAGGATTAATTTTGTACTATTTTTCTCCTCCTTTAGTAAAATAAAACAGGGTCTGTTACCTAGCTTGGAAGATTTGCTGTTCTATACAATTGCAGAAGGACAAGAAAAGATACCTGTTCACAAGTTTATTACAGTAAGTTTTTCTATTTTTCTCTGAACTTTCGAAGATGTAATACTAAGTCCATTATATAATATTGCTGAAATGTGGTCTTAAAAGTTTACTGACTTGTAGGTTCTGACTGACAGTGTTTCTCTTGTTTTCAAATTTTTATTATGCTCATTCCAAGGTAATGAAAGAAAAGGAAACAATGAGAAACTTGTCCAGAAAGTGGATAATAGTGAAACAAATGCCACATACATGACCAAGTATTGAGTAGAACGTCCATATATAGGAATGAAACTTATAGTTGGAATAAGCATGTACATTATCTGCGCTGTATATTTACAAACTCTTATTTTTTTAAAAACAGGCACTCAAATCTACAGGATTGCGAACATCTGATCCCAGGTTGAAAGAGTGTATGGATATGTTAAGATTAACTCTTCAGACAACGTCAGATGGTGTCATGCTAGACAAAGATCTTTTTAAAAAGTAAAACTTTCTGCCAAACCTTTAATGGTGATTTGCTATGCTGTATGGTGATTTTGCTTTTAAAACACAATTTTACTTTTAACAACCGGTATTATAGTGTACTGAGAAAGGGATTTATAAATATTATTTCTTTGAAGACAGTGATAGTATATATTAAGGTTCTGTTATACACTGGGTTTAAATTGGTTATAATGAAAGTTAGCCATAAATGTTGTTTTGTGCCTAGAGATTATATTGTTTGGCTGTTCTATTCTGTCTGCATGATTTGCTGACTTTTTCAGTTTAGTCTGTAGTTTATTTCCACTGGGTGATTTTGATGCTGACCATGAGAGGACTTCAGACAGTTCTGTAGTCCTTGTATTCACATAGTTGCATCACCTGGTTCTCTTTTTCAAGTGTTTAAATGAATGTTTTGGGTCTGTTTTCTTTTTCTTTTTTTGTAAAATAGTGAGAGCTTTAGACGACTTTGAAGATGAGCCTTGGTTTGGTTGGATGAGAACATTTTGACATTGCTGAATTAGCATATCTTCATTACTGAGTATCAGTTTGCTTTAAGCTTTAGTCAACATGTTTGTAATTGACGCTAAAGAGTCAATGTTTTAATTTATTAGTTTATAGAAAGCAGCGTAAAATTATAAACGACTATAAGACAGTAGTTTTTGTTTTTCCTAAACCACAGGTTTCAGTTGAGGTGCATCTAAAGAATTTCTGTATTTAATTTTGAGTGAGTGAGTGAGTGAGTGAGTGAGTGAGAAATGAGAGAGAGAGAGAGAGAGAGAGAGAGAGAGAGAGAGAGAGAGAGAATTTTTAATTACATTTTCTTTGGTATATTGAATGATTTGTTCTAGATCTCCCCTGGGAATATCCTGGAGTCCCTAGAAGGGATCAGTATTTAAATAAGATTCTCTGAAGTTTTTGTCATGCTTGTGAGATGTCTGCCAATTTTGAACCAAGACTCTTAGTTCTCTTAATGCAGCCAACTTTAAAGTATAGCTGTTAAGCTTACTTTGCAATTGATATTAAGAATTTAAGTCTGTTGATCTGTTCATTTTGTGAAGGGAATGAATTCACCTCTAGATTTATTTATGCTTTTGTAGTAAGGATCTGTCTTAGGAACTATCTGTGCAACATACTCTTTCTTGATTATGGTGCTTTCGGAGAAGTTATTTTAGTTTATCTGTGAGTATAGTTAATTGATGGTAGATTGGATTGTAAAATGTATAGAGAACTGGCTTTGTAATTTTTAAGGGAATCACTAATTTGCACATTTAAACCTTCATTAAAATGTGCTTTATGAACATTGTTTCATTATGAAATTAAAAGCAATTTAAATGTTTCCCTCAATTATGAACCTAAGGAACCACTATCATAAAACTATTTGTAATTGAATTGATCTATAATAATTATAACTTTAGACACAAACTCGAGTTTTACAAAACTATGATTATAATGTAGGCAGTCTCTGACTTGACATGAAAACAACACAGTAGTCTGTGTTGCAGGACATAGACAAAGGGTTTTTCCTTTTCATTTCTAGAATGAGGTAACTTAGAACCTCTTACTAGGAGCTTTTCCAGGTCACTTTGAAAGGTGATGACTCCAGAGAAATTCCTTCTGATTTCAATTATAAGAAGTTATCTCATTGGGGAGCCAAAAATAAACAGTATCATTCCATGTTGCTGGAATGACATTCCTTTTTTCTTAGAGAAGTTATAATTATAGATAATTATAATTATAGATAATTCTGTTTTCTCAAAATGAGAAACCAGTATTGTATGTGACTTTTTAAAAGCATGGATAAATGAATTATATCTTTTGAAAGTTGGAGAACTCCCTATGCCTATCTATATAGTCGTCATTTTTGTATTAATACTCATTAAAATTACAAGAGGAAGAAAATATTTGTGCTAACATCAAGTTCTTCATTCACTTGTTCATTCATTGTTAAACTATAGAAATATAACAACTGTTTTTATGTGTGACCATATTTTAAGAATCGTTTACTTAGAGGCAGCAAATGGTTTGCATTTGTAATTATTTGGTTTCTAAAACCTTAAATATTACTAATGAAAAATTATGTGAGAAAAATTTTTTAATATTAATGTACATTGTATTTGTAAGACCTGTGTCCAGAAAGTAATGGTGAACAAAGCGCAGAAACATACTTACCTGTGGAAAGGCAAAAGTATTTTTCCTCAGAATTCATTTTAAATAATTTATATTTTCTAGTACACTGATGACATCTACATTAAAATAATTTCCACAAAAATTTTTACTATTTGAACACTGTCATTATCTGTAGTTGGAGTCTTCTGAAGGCTGAAATTGTCTTTATCATGATAACTTAACCATTTAAGGCTATTTCCACATGGTTTTTACTAATATGCTAGAACCAACAAACAAATACACACTATACCCAAAATTCTGTGTACTGTTCTGTTGACTATAAATCCTCTTTAAAGGTGCTGATTAGTTTTGTTTATTTTATTTTGAGATTTATGTGTATGCTGTTTTGCCTGCAGGTATGTCTGAGCACCACATGCATGCAATGCCTGTAGAGACCAATAGAGGGCATCATATTTCCTGGAATTGGTGTACCAGACAGCTGTGAGCCATTATGTGGGTGCTGGGAATTGAACCAAAGTCCTCTGGAAGAGCAGTCAGTGCTCTTAAACACTGAGCCATCTCTCTAGCCTCCTGAATAGTTTTAAACATTTGAAATATTTGTCTGTGTTGGGGTTTGGGGAAGGGGGGGTAGTAGTGAGTTGATAATTTAAATTTGCTTGGTATTTCTCATGTTTTATTTGTAGCTTCTTAAAAACGAAATACATTTAAAAATAAGTACTTTTTAGGAATTACTTTAGCTTTCTTATTTGAGAAAAGTATGCTAGTTGTATTTTCCTTGCAACTTTGATTTTTGAAAATTGAATTTTAGAAGCTGTTTGAGATACATAAAAGTTAAATATTTAATCAGTGATTTTTTTTTAGTGCATTACCCAGCTTCTTAATTTCATTTGCTTGTCTGTAAAGCAGGGAAATTCTTCAGAAAGTATTGGTATTTTTAAGGTTAAATAAGATCATTAATAGTGCCTATTGTTTTCTTTTTCCTCAAAACATGCTAATATAGTGTAATTATTTATCTGTGAGGAATATAGTTACATAAGTAACTTCTCATAGCAATGGTCTGACTTTAACATTTCTTTCTTTCTTTTTAAATCTTATTATGGGACTTGCCTTAAAATATTATTGTAGTTGGTGTTGTATCTTGTCGTTCATTTTATCTTTTGTAAGTTACATACTCTGTGACTGAATTACTGGTACTCAGAAATTTTAAGATGGTTTTTAGCTCAGAATTTAAAATATACTGTGACACACAAACTTTAGGTTATATTAACACATTAGTTTTTGGCTTAATCCTTTTCAGAAGAAAGCAGAATGTTGGTTCACATCAGTGTCTTTAAAATGGTTTTTTAACAGTGAAACATTTCTGTAATGTGTTACATTTGGCTCTGGTAATATAAAACCTATTATAGTACTTCATAAATTATAAGCATGTCAACATATTTTTCACTTAAGAAAATTGATGAGTTTGACCAAACCAAATTGGTTTTATCTTACAAAGCTTTCAAAATGTTCAGGAAAAACACATTAAAATATTGTTATTTGGGCTGGAGAGATGGCTCAGCGGTTAAGAGCACTGACTGCTCTTCCAGAAGTCCTGAGTTCAATTCCCAGCAACCACATGGTGGCTCACAACCATCTGTAATGGGATCCGATGCCCTCTTCTGGTGTGTCTGAAGACAGTTTCAGTGTACTCATATAAATAAAAATAAATAAATCTTTAAAAAAATATATTGTAATTTAATTTTTAGTGAAATACTACCCAGTGATTATATAAGAACTAAGAAGGGTATGTCAGAGGTTACTTAAAATTGAAAAATATTCATAATCTCATTTGTGGTGTTTTAAAGGCTGAGTTTTGTTAACCAAATCTCATGTTTAGTATTTATTAATTTTAGTAGGATGCAAAATTTTTTACAATACTTAAACTTCAAAGGATGCATTACCATTTTAGTATCTGACAAAATTTTAGGCATGTTTATTTCTTATTTGTTCAGGATAAGCTAGAAGGAGAGAAAACATAGGAAAAATATGTTTTAAATTTGACTTGTATAAGTATATGGTTTATTGATACTGATTAATATTCTTTTATTAAGTGGCTGCCAATAACTGAAAGGTACCCACTCTGTTTTTCTATCACATTCCACAGGTGTGTTCAGAGCAACATTGTTTTGTTGACACAGGCATTTAGAAGAAAGTTTGTCATTCCTGACTTTATGTCTTTTACCTCACACATCGATGAGTTATATGAAAGTGCTAAAAAGCAGTCTGGAGGGAAGGTAAGGTTTGGATACACATATTTTCCTAATATAAATGTTTCATATAAAAAAATAAACCTGGATATTCTACTTCCAAATTAAAAAACTCAGTGAGTCAAGCCTGTAAATTCAGTGCTTTTAAATTAGTATAAGTATTTAACCCTTTGTTATTTTGCCTAGAATGAAACCGAGTTTAAAGTTTTGGGCAGGGCGTGGGTGTTGGATATTTGCGGTAGAGTTTCTCTGTTTTGCAGACCTGGCTGTCCTGGAACTTGCTTTGTAGACCAGGCTGGCCTAGAACTCAACAGAGTTCTGCTTCTGCCTCTTCAGTGCTATGATTAAAGGCATGTGCCATCATTCCCAGCTAAATTTTTTGTTTTTAAATTTGGAGATGACTGAAGTGGCTTCGTATTTTCAAATTAGTAAAATGACTTTATTTCACATTTTTACAGATTTGATACCCATTAATATTAAGTAAACATTTCTACTCTCAGTTTTATAAGGTTGGTTGCAAGCTTTTTTTTTTTTTAAAAGTCTTTAAGTTCTTGTTTTAAATTATCTGAATTTTTAAGAAGTAAGATTGCATTAAAAATCAGAATGGTAGAAAAGTCACCTAATGTCATGCAAATACTCAAGTTTATAGATGAGTATTCTTAGTTTTTACAAGCATCATTAAGACAGGCTGAATCAGCTCCAGAGTACACTAAAACAACAAAACCAGTGATTGGTGAGAGCAAACACATTATCTGTATTGTATCTCTTAATGACTTTCTAATATTTTGGACAGGTTGCTGATTATATTCCTCAACTGGCCAAATTCAGTCCTGATTTGTGGGGTGTATCTGTCTGTACCATAGACGGGCAAAGGTAAGTTTATTTTAAAGTCTATGAAGAACAGCTTTAAGTCTTGAATTTTGTTTTATGAGCGAAAAAGGAAGATAATTTTTATTTTGAGGCTTTGAAGCCTGGTCTGGCCCTTGAACTCACTGTGCAACTGAGGCTGGCCTTAAACTTATGTGGCATAATCTATCTCATTATCCATCAATAATTTGCAAAGTGAAAGTCAGTTGGCAAAGCACAGTCTTTTATAAATGCATATTTGAGAAGTGTTTGTATTTTAAGTAAGCTGCTAACAAATGAGGATTTTTTGCATAATTATCAGAACATTTTATGCTGAAGGGGAACTATAAAGAAAATAATTTTATTTTTTTAAAAAAAAAACCTAAATTATAAAAGGCTTTTGGAAAATGCTAAACTGTGAGATTGTTACTTTCAAGAATAGTACTTTCTGGGCTTGGGAAAAGATGGCTTAATGAATAAAGTGCGTGACTTGCAAGTGTGAAGGCTGGACTTGAAGTCTGTGGCACAAAATCTTAGGCAAATATAGTGGCTCCCTATAATTCTAGCAATTATGAGGAAGGCAGAGAGAGGTCCTTTGCAAGCTGCTAACTGGGAATAGATAAGCTCCATGTTCAGCAACATATCCTGTCTCAATAAACTGGAGAACAGAGGAGGGAAAATTAATGTTGGCCTCCTCACAGGTGTGTATACACATGCACCTGCACGTATGCAAAAATGTCTACACAAGTCAATGCAAAGTATATTTTAATTTAGTTGGAAGTCAGACATTAAGGGTTTATTGTCAAGCTCTAATTTGGATATCAGAAGAATTATGCCATTTCTGGTTTTCCTACTGAAAAAAATTAGCTTAGAAATATAATCCTTCCTTAAATTACTTTTTAAAATGAAAATATAGCTTAACATAAAAATGTATACAACTGGTATTGCTGTATATATAGCTTGATGAATTTATATTAATGATATAATTTCATTCCTTTTTCCCCCCAATTTTGAGCCAGCTTCTTTATGTAGCTGGGCTCGCCTAAAACTTACTTTGTTGCCAAGGCTATTCTCAGACTTTATATCGTCATACCTGTATCTATTTGATCACAGGCATGCCCACTATGCCTGGTAGTGCCCTAAAGCTTACTAAGACTACAAGTCAGGAAAACCTAGAATTGGAGACTTCTCTTTTGAAGATATGATTTAAAACTTTTTTATCTGTTTCTGATTTTAATTATCTAATCTGAGTTGTTCTTAAGTTATAATAAAAAACATAAATTTTTATTATAATTAAACATTAATTTTTTAAGAAGTAATTTTTTAAAGAGCTAGTTTACTCTGAAGTAGGATAAAAATCATTTAACATTTAATAAAACTGTTATTCTATTGAGTACTTTAAGCTTTTGCCATTTTTTTTTGCAGTGTCCCTCTTAAACATAATCTTTTTGTAATGTTTACATATGTATATGCCTGTGGAGATGAAAGGATAACCTGTAGGAGTCTATTCTGTCTCTATCATGTAGGTTCCGGGTCAGGCTTGGTGCTGGCCACCTATACTACAGCATCATCTAGCAAGCCATCTCTCTAATGTTGACGTAAACATTTATGGTTGAATTATGGGAAAATATTTATAATTAGAATTAATAATACAACAGTTTGTGGTTGATGGTAATTGTTTTTAAAATCTACTTTAATAGGCATTCTATTGGAGATACCAAAGTTCCCTTTTGTCTTCAGTCCTGTGTAAAACCCCTGAAATATGCAATTGCTGTTAATGACCTGGGGACTGAGTATGTGCATCGCTATGTTGGGAAGGAGCCAAGTGGATTAAGATTCAACAAACTCTTTTTGAATGAAGATGGTAAGGAGTACCTACAAATTGGCTAGAAAATCTCAGTAATTTGAAATCTGCTTTTGAAAAAACCTTTTCCTACTTTTAAATTTATGCCATAGAGGTTTTTTTTTATTTTTTAGAGATAGTTTAATCGTCTACTTTTTAAATTGGTTATTTTAGGTTATCTTGTGCCATTAGCAAAAGGAGTAGAGAGATAAGGGCAAGGAATACCTTCCACAGTTGGGCACAGTGCACCCTTGTAATCCCAGCAATTAGGAAATGGAGTGAGAAGGACCGGGAGATCAAGACCATCCTTGGCTGCATAATAAATTTGAGGGTAACCTTAGATGCATAAGAGACACTGTACATTTATAAATAAGAGCTCATTGTTGTCACCTATCGGGGATTCTGTCAATGCTTGAAAACGTCTAGAATTTACTTAAGAACAACCCAGTGGAAGCAGCTAATAGTCTGGGATAGTCATAACTATTATGTTTTGTTTGGCAAAGGTGAAACAGCTAGCTAGATTCGGCATCCTGACCATTTTCAGGCTAGAGTTTGGACCCTCATTTGCCCATAAAATATATGAATCAGTCTGTGTTGAAATAAATGTCACTAATACACTATGAAAGGAAACACAGAAAGGAAATAGCATGGCTTCTTCTGACCAAGCAAGTTCTAATAGAGTGGTGGTTCTCTTTTTTCATATTCACATAATGTATGGATGTTTCATGTACTGCTTTCATACTTGAGGACAGTTGTGTATGGGCTGTGGGTAGAAATTCGAGGATATATTGTATTCATGTACTGTGGCTTTAATGATAAATAATATAGTGGGATTTGTTTCTATGACTTTGGTCTTTCTCCTTCATAATATTTGCTATTTGGAAGAAGTATCTTAGATCAGGTAATTGGATTACTAAGTCTTGCTACTCAAGTTACAGGCATTCAACAAGGAAGGAACACAAAGGTAGACAATATTTCAGTCACAGAGGTTTTAAATCTGAGTCACCAGTAACTTGACTTCATTCAGTAAGGGTGCCTTTTGGGTTTATCCTGAAGTATGTGTAAGGTTACTAGTTAGTTGATGATTTGAGGTACAGAATTAAAGGAAGCACATAAAGTTTAGAAAAATTGTAAAAGATAAACTGTTTTCTTTTGTCAAATTAAAAAAGTGAAATGTCTCTGTTTTATTAATTCTTCAAATGAAGTCACAACTGATATATTCTATATTTTTTCGAACAGTTTTTATCTGTATTTTACCATAATCTTTGTGCTGAGTTTTGAAAATTAGCATATTTTGGCACCTTCATTTAGGATATTATATTTCAAAATTTCTTATTTATTAGTCTCATTGACATCCAGGTTTAATGAAGGTACTCATTCTGTTATTCCCAGTAGATAAGACATTTTATAGTATAATCAGTATTTTCCTTTGGAAAGCAAGCAAGAGTAAGTGATTTTGGCAGATACATCGATTTGAAGGAAGGTATTTAAATATCTAAAACAAATGTAGGAATTTGAATGTTAGAAATCTTTTGGGGGGGCTGTTGAGATGATTCAGTGGTTAAGAGTACTGGCTAGTCTTCCAAAATAACTTGTTTCCCAGCACCATATGGTGGCTTAACAACTGTGCACAGTTCCAGGGAATCTGATACCTTCTTCTAGCCTCTTTCACCACCAGGCACACACATGGTGCAGAGACATACATACATACAGGGAAAACATCTATACATGTAAAATAACAAAATCTTCTTTTGAGAAACTTAAAATTTCTATTGGGAGAAAAAAATAAAATGAGGGTTGGGGTAAATGAACTTACCATTTATTAATAAAATTTGTGCCATATTCATGTATAGTTTTTAAAAGTGTAAGTTATTCTTGGCATGGTCTGTAATGTATAAGAAAATTGTGTTGAGAACTCAAGATTTTGTTTAGTACTGGTTTCTCATAAGAATTAAAATATAAAACTTAAAAAGAGGGCTTGTCTATCAGCCTTGCCAAGTTCTCAAGGGATGCTGTGCTATTCAGTCTTGGTTTTATATCAGCCCCAACACAAAACAGTTTGGAGATCTTTCTCATTTTTAAAATTTTACTATTTATAGTGAAGAAACAAATGTGTTTGTAACTGTATTCAGAGTTATATGTTTAAAAATATCACTCTTGCTATGTAAGATTATAAGAGTAAAGTAATGTAAATATGATAAATAGGTAAGCGATGGTGGTAGTTACTCTGTAATTACATGTACTTTTGAAGAGTAAAGTATAAATAATGTTTGTCCTGTAGTTGGAGTTGGCTGGTACTTTCTGTCATCCGTGAGTGAGGAAACAAGTTTATTTTGATGACAGTTTTGGAAAACATCTCTTAGGGAAGGTTTAATTTGATTTTATTATATGGTATGTACATGTGTGATATGAGGTGATGAGTATATGCATACCACAGTGTACATACGAAGGCCAGAGGACAACTTTGTGGAGTCAGGTATACTTTTACATAGGTTCCAGTGATCAGACACAGGACCTCAGGCTTACAGAACAAGTACTTACCCCGTCAAGCCATCATGCTTGCCCCATGCTTTTCTACCCTATAGGGATTAGGTTAGCCGACTAATATTTATATAGCCTTGTTGGGTAATCAGCTCAAGGCGGCAAGGGATTTGATTCTTGGAGTAATTTATTTAGCTAATACTGAAAGATTTACAAAGTTCATGTGATACAGGATTTTAGGAGGCAGAGTTAAGCTTTTCATAATCATACTACCTCTGATAGGGAATTTAGAAGACAATTCAAGTTTTGCATATTGTTAGTGATCTTTAATTAGCAAAGCCAAAATATGTTATATTTATACAGGATTTGACAGAGAAGAGTTAGTTTTTGTAAGATGATAGAGCTGAGTTAATGGGAAAGAATGGAGTTTCAGTGATTGGGGAGAATGTAAGTGAGCACTGTAAAATTGAGCTATGTATAGTAAGTAGAAAAGTAAAAGTAGAAGATAAAAACATAGGAAAGAATGTTCCATGCATTGTTTATTGCAAAGTTCAAATAGATATTTGTTAAAATGAAGATCCTATCCATAAATTGCAGTGTTTCATGTGTTCAGTTTTCTGGTGTGCCAAGCTCTAATATGTGTTGTAAAAGTATTTTAAATGGTATCAGAGTTGTTATTTCTGTTGCCAATAACTGAGGAAAAAATTTAAAATTGGCTTTTTCATTTCTACCTTACTTCAGAAAACAAGAGGTTCATGTTCCTAAGTCTTAGAGTGCTTTGGCATTGCAGTAATGCTGCTCTTCTTACCAGTTTCTACTTTAGACATTTGACTCTGAACCAACGTTGAAGAGGAATCAGTAGATCACCTGCTGTGAAATAATTTGTTGTTCTTTGAAAAAGTCTTGGGTGCAATTCATGTAGCATTTGCTTGATACTTATCAAATTCTTGAGTGTGTATTGATATACACACATTGGTTGCCTTCTAGCTCCAAGGATTTAAACCTGAGATTATATAAAACAAAGAGAGAAATCTGAAATAATAGATTAACAAGGTTTTATATAACTACATATGTAGAGTAATTTCACTATTGAGTTCTGTACTCTGCTTTTCCTTTGCTTGGGACTTTTCTTTCAGGTTGATAATATTTGGAAGTATTTTGCATTTTTTATTTCATCTTGATATACAAACACATATAATATACCATTCTTCAGAGAAAGCAAGTGATACCATTGTATATATGTTTAGGGAAATCATATTTCTTTTGTTCAGCATTATTTGGGGAAAGTAAAATCTTTCTATATTACAGTGTTTAGATTTTTAACAACAGACTTTTAATATTTAGAACCAGTCTTTATGGTAAATAACTTAGAATGTAGTTTTTCTTACTTTAATTAACAATTATAAGCATTGATGAAGTACATGTGCTTTGCACCATAGAAAGATGAATCAAATAGTCATGAACTGTTTCAGACTTTATTTGTAGCAAGAACACAAAACTGTTTTTAGCAATTTTGAAGTGTATTATTATAATCTAGTAGATAACTTGGTCTTGCCCTCATCTCATTTTAATTTTGCTCTTCAGTCAATATTTCCCCATTTTTCTCCTACCCCTACAGCCATGCTAGCAACTATCATTTTCTGTTTCTTTGAGTTCCACATGTTTAGAGCCTACATAAAAGATTTGTTTTTCTGTACCTGGTTTTACTATTTGTGTTACTGTAAATGAGATGTTTTCTTATTTTTTAAGGCTGAATAATATTCCTTTTTTATATATATTTTCTTGATTCTTTGATCCACTGGTAGACCTATATATGTCAATCTCATGTCTTAGTTCTGATGAATAAGTGACAGAATGAACACAGAAGAATGACGCCTCCAGGATAAAGTCATCATTCCCTTTGCAGACATTTGCTCAAAAGGATTTCTGGATCCAACATGTAACGTGTGCAATTTTAAAGGATGATTTTTGAATTGTTATCTCTCCATTGAAGGAAATGGAGTATGGTTTACACAATTAAACCTCTCTCGATTTTTTTAAGTGAAAAATATCTAAAACTACATGCTTTCTCTTATGCAGAGTCTAGATATTTAAGAGACATCAAATGAAAGGGCTAATGGGGATGGGACGGCAGCCGGAGAGAAGGCTGCATGTGAGCAGAGTATAGTCTATGTGTCTGAAGACACCAAAGTGAAAGCCATTCATATTTTTTTCAGATGATAAAAGTAAGAATGATACAATTCATAAATAGCATTTTTTTTCTATTCAGAGTGTACCGTTTGACACTGGAGATGTGCACGTGTGCTCTCAGCTCTCAGTTGTACACAAGAGGCATGAGATTGAGAACAGCTCGAGTTACACTGTTTCAAAGCAAATGACAGGAACAAAAGTATAGAATTCAGTAACTTTTAACTATATAGTCCTAGGATTTTGAAATCATCATTCAGTAAATTTGGGACATTTTGACCATCTGCAAAACAAAATTCCATATTCATCTGTGATTATTCACTGTTTTTGGTTTTTTGTTTTTGTTTTGTTGATGTTGGTGGTGGTTTGTTTTGGCCTTGAAATCTAGCAATCTATTCTTGTCTATAGATTTATTTGAGAAACTTCAGATAAATGGAATCACTTATATTTGTTCCTTTATGACTAACTTTCCTTAGCTTAGTATGTAAAAGGTTCACGCATGTTATGATTTTATTTCCTTTGATAATTATACCATCATGATAAGACCAGTTTATCTACCTTTCAGCTGAAGGGATATTAGACTTATTCTCATGGTTATATAGCTGAGAGGAATGGCTGGGTCCCATGGTGACTCTCTGTGTTTACTGCTTTGAGGAACTGTTTGACTGCTTTTTCAAAGCTCACAGTGTGAGCTTAGAGGCTTGTCTTGTGGAATGTAACTTGCTAGATTCAAGGAGACTCTAATGTAATACAGATAATGTGTGTGCTAGGATTGTCAGGTTCGGTAAGCTTATCCATGAAGTCACTCTCACAAATAGAAGTTTCTTTTGTGAGTTTGTTTTGAGGCAGGAGCTCATGTAGCTTTGAACTCTAATCCTGAGTGCTGGGATTAGAAAATGCACCACCATGCCTTGCTAGAAAGAATGTTTTACCCAATGTCTAGACCCAAGAATGTCTGTACCCAAGAGTTTTTTGTTCACAATTAGCTGTGTAATGAATGGTAATGTAATAAGTTAAGCTTCTAAAATTCTACTAAAGAATTAAAAGAAAGTAAGATTATGGGTGAACATAAAAGTTTAAGTTACTTAAAACTTTTAAGGGCACATGCTGTTCTTGAAGAGGACCCAGGTTTGGTCTCTAGCAGGAACATGGCCGCTCACAACTGTCTTAATTCCAGTTCCAGGGGATCTGACAGCTTCTTCTGGCCTCTTTAGATACCAAGTGTGCCTGTGGTGCACATCCATACATGTAGGCAAAGATATAAAATAAAAATAATTCTTTTTAAAAATTAATGAAATATGTATCCTTTACTGTCAAGAAGTGTTGAAAGTGTAGAGAATACAATTTAAATCTCCTGAAATCTTACCATTTTAGGCATATCACTAGTATTTGTATTTTCTTCTTCAGTGTCTATATACATGTACATGTATACACATGCATACATTTGCATAAGTACAAAAATGTTTTCAAAAGGTAAATTGGGATTATGCCAGATGAGCTTTTTCAAAGATTATTTTTAATATGGTAATATTATCCAAGTACTTAGTAGATATTAGCTATTTGTATGCATTTTTGAGCTTTAATAATAGTAACTTTGAGATACGTTCAGTTGTTATGTCTTTGAGATACAGATTTGGTTTCTATTTACATACATACAGAAAAATTGAGTGAAATGGCAGGATTACAGTATTTGGATTTACTTTTAACATTACTTTTTGCAGAATGTTCTGTTAATTCTTGTTTTACTATGTGATTATCATAGCATAATTCAGGGTGTGAACAACTGTTTTGATATGTATCTTACTCCAAACAATGCTCCTTGCAGAAAAGTATGCACACATCCAAGGAAGTGGAACCGAGTATTTGAAACAATGCTGTCACTATTATGTTTTACAGATAAACCACATAATCCTATGGTGAATGCTGGAGCAATTGTTGTGACTTCACTAATAAAGGTAAAATGTTGACATTTCCTTTTAACCTAGTAATTTTTTAATAAATAAGGAATAAACATATATTTTGTATTTTTTATGTAGGACTATGATGATAAATTTTCTCTTGGAATTAAGAAAATAGTTTTATTATATTGGGTTAAGAATTTTATTTATTCCCCCCCCATGTCATTTCAAGGACAAAACTGAAAAACATGACTCCCAGCCATTTGTTGGGAAAATCATGAATCCCAGCTGTTAGTTAACTTCTGGATATAAAGCTTTGGCACAGATTTAAGAACTTTACAGATCAGTGGAAGTTGAGGTGTTTCTTTCTAATGTTTTAAATAATTTTTCTTTTTTGCTTCTAGAAAGAATAAATAATAACAGAAGCATTTTACTATATGATATTTTTATTAATAAATGTGGGAGCAAATATTTAAGTTTAGAACAAAACATTTATTATATTAAAAACAATGCATTGTTTTATCCTCATAAGCTGGGATCACAGTTCTCATTTAAATTTGTTTCATTTGTTTTACTTACATCATATCATAAGTAAAAAAAGTAAGGCTTCTTCCAATTATTACATTACTTAAGTTTTGATGTTTTCATTGTATGTTGACTTATTTATGTTAGTGTTTGTATCAATAATTGGAAGCTAAAGTTTTGAAATAAGTATTTCAAAATGGTTCTGTTGTGTGGTAGATTTTCACACAATTTCAGGTGTTTCTCCATTTATTTTGTGTTTGGGACACTTAGATGTTTCCCAATAAATTTGTGCCTGTCTATTCCAGGTTAGAATCAAACATAACTCATGGATTTGTACATGCATTACTGTAGATGGGGTACTCTGAATACATACAGAATGCTGAACGGTAAATTACAGGCTTAGAGTCCAGTTACAGAAATTCATTTAATTGCTATACTAGAAGTCTATGTTAACTGTCAGTGACTTTTAAAGCAGAAAATTACTATCTTAAGAATATATGTCTATTTTAGGGCAATGACTTATAAGCATTGGCCTACTTAAATTTTTTTAATTCTAATAAAGTAGATTTATAGCCAGATATCCTTTAATGTAGCTAGTTTATGCTATCTAGTTACACTAAGGTAGATATTATTGTAGAAAGTAGTAATGCAGTTATATACAAAGCAGACTCTGCCTTTGGGTGTCTTAAGTATGGAAATATACATAGAAAAATGGGCCTTTATAATTGAGTTCAGTAAATGTTGTGAGAAATCTTATTAATAATTCAGAGTTGAGCAAGTAATAAATTAGAACTAAGGAAAGTTAACTACAGTCCCTGTCAATGCGTAGTTTTAAAAAGCACTAGAATGATTCTAAACCATTTTTGGATCTTCACAAAATGCTCAGATTCCATGATTTTACATATATTTTAATGGGTTCCTTAATCTTCTGAAAGATGATCATGGATTCCAGCTTAAAAACTACATCAGTGATAGGTCTGTCAGAACTTCAAGGTTCCTCAGCTATATAGTAACTTAGAGTAAACTGGGAGGCTTGAGGTGAGTGAGACCATGCTACAGGAAGTGAGATCCTGTTACAAAGAGGTGGTTACTTTGGAGAAGATTAACACTGTACACCAGTAGGTTTCTCTTTAGAGGGCATATGTAAATGATTTACAGAACACCTCCTTAACTTCATGCAGTTAAAATCCTTTTGTTAATGATTCCTGGGCTCAGTCAAGTACACTGATATGCTGCTGCATGTGGGAGGGAATGGCCTGTCTTGTCATACCGTATCATCCTTCCATTAGTTTCATTTATCATGGTCAGTCATATGTCATGAACCATGTTGATCCACATTAGCATAATTAGGAACAGTTACACAGGACAACACAAACAAGAAACACAGACAATATAGATGGAGTTCAGTGTCTAATAGTATGGAACAGTCATCCTGTATTTGAAATTTTGGTATTTTAAATTTGTAAGATTTGAAATTTACCAGGGAAGTTACAAATTCATATTGAAGCTCATTATCTTTGAGTCTACTTTCAGACTATGTTTCACAAGTATTGTTTTAATTGAACATAATGCAAGTCTTAAAGGATAGAGCATGATAGAGCTGTAAAACTGCCCTCAAAATAAGACGTTCCTTAGGCTCTTTTAAAGAAATAATTTAGATTTATTAAATATCTGTATGCAGCCATTGTTTGTATGATAATACATTGAGGACTTGGTATTGGTTTGAAGTTGAGGTAATAAAATCATAGCCAAAGAGCCCAGTTGTCTTCCTTATTGGGAATGGACACTGGATGGGTTCTATCATCAGTAGAATCTGGTTTTGAGCTCAATCTGTTCTGTCATTTACTAGAATTTACTGTACTATAAATAACAGGTGATTGCCATTTCAATTAATGATATCTTTGACTTTAGCAGTTATAAAGGCAGAAGTACTGTGTTAATTTAGTTTGTACACAGATAGTGATTTATTGGCCTAAAGCTGCATCTGTTTTTTAAATGGGTATGTGTAGTCATAACGTAGACACTAGTTGGTGCTGCTATGTGGACACAAACAGACTCCAAGGAACTTAAATTTGAGTGCCCAAAGCATGGTCACATTACCATGCCTGCTAGAAGTAGATGTGCTTTTAGAGCTTTCTAAGATGTTTTGTTGTTGATTTTTTTTGTTTTTGTCTTTCTGGTCAAAGTTTGGGGCTTTGTTATGATACTATTGCAACAAATCTCATGTTACACACCTCCAAAAAAGTAGAGTCTTTAGTAAGACTCTTTATTTCATAATTTTGTAGTATTGATATTTTTTCCTTGTAGGATTGGTGGTGATCCTCAGGAAATGGGGGAAGAGGCAGAGCAAATGTTCAAAAGGATTAGCAGATTGTGGAAAAAGGAGGATTTGGACAGAAGGAACCTGTTGAATTAATTCTTAACCACTAAGCTTATAGGAAAACTCCAATATTTAAAATTTTAAACAAAGCTATATAGGTAAATACCTTTTTAAAAACAAATGTAATTTTACACTTAAAATGCACATAATTAAAAAGACATAAGGGTTACTATTCTTACTCGCTTTTTTTTCCTCTGGTAGCTACTAACTTTAAGGGAATAGTTTTTGTTTCAGTCTGTTTGATTTCATGATGATAATATGTGACTGTTTGGTTTAAAGAAAAGAATAAAAATAAGAGGGATAGATAGTTATGTTTAGGTTAAAAAAGCATATTTCACATGTTTTTGGTTTTCAGTGATAAAAACCTAATTTTAGCTTAAAAGTTAAAGTCTGATGCCTTGAGTATTTGGGCTGGGAAAATGAGGGCAGCATTACAAAATAATTGTCACTATTGCATTTTTTAATTTTAGAAATATAGTAAACTATATGACTTTCTATATTTATATGTCTATTCTAGTAGTTGTTTCTAAGTTTTATTACTTTAAGAAGTTTGGTTTTATGTGCGGGTATTTTCTGTTTTAAGAAGCAGTGATATTCTTTTATTTAAAAGTTAAACATTTTAAATTGTTTCTCCATAAACTCAAGGCAAGTTTAATTGATCTGTAGGCTATTTGCCATTTGTTGTCCTATTAGCTGTAGTCTGACAGGTGTCTTAGTAAAGCCCACATTCTGAGATGGTCTGTCACCTTCAGTAGTAACAGTGCATGGTGCATCCCTGGGCTTGGTACAGTTAGCACAGGAATTTAGTGCTGTAGTTACTTTGAGGCACATTTGAGGGGTTTCTTTTTTTTTTTTTCCCTCTTAATCAAAAGGTAGATTTTTCCAACTAACTTAATTGTTCTGTTCCTTTATTTGTAGCAGTAATGTATAAAAATACTAGCTCTTAGCAGAGCACAGTAGCTCATGTCCTTCTCCTGGCACTCTGCAGCAGAGGCAGGTGGATCTCTGAGTCTGATGTCAGTTGTGTGTACATCATTAGTTCTGGGACACTCAGCGCTAACAAGGCCCTGTCTCCAAATGGTCCTGAAACCCAGGTCTAGAACAGTATTACTTTTTATTTACAGTACTAATTTGTAGTTTAGTAATGTTTAGTTTCAGAAAATTTTCTGTGGCAAGATCAAATCAAGACTATTTTATAAAATCATTTTTTATCATCTTTGCCTCTTTCTCCTTTGATCTCTAATATTTAATTAGCACGCTCACTCTTTATTCCTATAGTATGTTTCATAATAACTGATTAACATTGGCTGTTCAATGAGACATTATTTAGTGTTGCCAAGTATATTTGCTTATACGTGTGAATTCATTCATGTATTTGGTATTAAATCAGATATAAAAATACTTAAATTCTTTCAATTTATTTTTTTCTAATGCTGCAAGCTTTGTATCCTGGGCCATCTCCCTGGCACTTACATTAATTGACAGAGTAAAGCTTTATCACCCTTGTTAAAAAATTCCTACTTACACTTTTCTTCAAGAGATGTAAATTCTAAAAAAAAAAAGAGAGAGAGATGTAAATTCTATAATTTAATAGGCATGTTTATAAAAGTTAAACTTATATAATTTTCTACCTCTTTTTATTCTTTTCAAACAGACCATGGTTTACTTTTAGAAATCATTTAGTGAATACATTAGAATTTAAAAATATATTTTGCCCAGTTTAGTTTCTTAAAAATTCTTCCAGTTATATTTACTATAAATTTCTGTGAACTTTTCTAGAATTAAAATAACATAATATGTAGCAGTGCTTGTCCTTTGATCTTCATGCTGGAGTACACATCTCCTGGTATATGAGGGGTTAAGGGCAGGAGGGTTGGGAGTTTAAGAATATTACTTTCCATATGTATTTTTATACGCCTTTCTTAAAATAATTTGCTTTTGGGTTTAGGTAGTTTCCATTTTCCAGAAGAAAGGCCATCTTATGTATTCTCCATTTTATTATACGTCACTGTTCTAGGATAAAACTCTTGGTTGCTAATGAGGCAACACTTTAAAGTACTCAAGTTAATGGTTTTGAGCCTATGAATCAATCAATACCTGCTTCTAAGTTGTGTTACCAATAACTATATTATAGGTTATTGCCCATTCTTTAGTTCAACAAACTTGAAATGAGGCTTAAACAAGTTCAGCTCAACTACAATATCGCTTGCTATGTGATAGGTCCATGTATGTAAAGGACTGAGTAATACCGCTCTAACAAACCATGGTCAGTCTGCTCAGTAGCTACAAGCAATATTTTGTAATGTCTATATAAACTATAGGGTGAGAATTCTTACCTTGTTCTGGCAGTAGAGAGTATAAATTTGCATATGAATTAAAAATCAGTTATGCTTTTGAAGATCAAAGAAAATGCTCTAAAATATTACAAATTAGTGTGTAAGATGACTAACAAATCATCTTTTTTTCAAACATTTTATCTTGATAAATTCAATCGTGAATGAAATAGAATAACCAACCTTGTTTACCTATTCCCTGCTTCAGTTATGTAATAATATCTGTTCCTTCACCCCTCTCAACTTACTGTGCCATAAGCAAATTGATTTTATTTTTTTCAATTTATCTTCAGTTTGTGAGTGCACATTTACTGTTTTGTATGTGTATATTTGTTTTCTCCTAAAAACTTTGAACAAAAGCTTTTTACTGTAACATTTCAAAATTAAAATATTAAAGTTAGGTCCCATCTATCTGTTCTGTTAACATGAAACCTTTTCAAGATATATGGGGACAACTGATAATGTAAAGATTTAGGTTAAACACCATTTTCAGGGTAGATAATAAGGGAAAATTAATCAAATGCTATTACATTTAAATGGGAAAGAGGTACTCTTTAGCCCACATGATCACCCAGTTTTTATTTTCCCCCACTTACATAAATCTGCGTAGGGCATTTCAGGTGCCTATTTAAACATCATTTAGAAATAGATATCGAATGCAATCAATACAATAAAGATACTGTTTTTTAAAAAACAATTTAAAAGCAAATTTTAATTTGTAAGCCATAAAATAAGCCAAGTATGTAAGCAAGTTTAGAGTTGAAATGAGTTTTGTTTTTTGATTTTTTTTATATTAAATTTGATAGTTCAACAAAGAAAACATTAATTTTACAGGGTACAGTTTAGGTCAGAGAATGAAAGGTACAGCTTAGGTTCAATGTAACTTGTTTATCTTATATTGATAAGTTGTGTAATCAGTGATATATCCATGTGACAGCACATTATAAATGCTGACATCCTTTTCCAAACATTGTGCTTTTTTCTTTTCTTTTCTTTCTTTCTTTCTTTTTTTTTTGTGCTTTTTCTGAGGTTGAAAGGTTTTTGTGGCTTAAATGTTGTTACATATTTTACAGCATTAGGATCTATGGAATATTTTGACAACTGCAACAGTTCAATGAAGTTGGTAATTTCTTCTTTTAATTATTTTTCATTGAACAGCTTTGGAGTTACTACATTTTAAATTCTGGTATAATATAAGAAAGTTTTTAAAATGTTGGGATGCTTTAGAAAAAAATATATAGGGGTTACAGTCGATTTGTCATTAAGTTATTCTTACATTGTTTAAGTTTTGTTAATGTCTGATTTTGGTAGCATACTTTGGTGTTCCTTCTTGTTGGTTATATACCTCTGACGGACTGTACTTTCTTAACTTCATTTGTAGTGTTTATATATTTATCAGTCATAACTTGACCTTCTCATAGGGAGAATGGACCTGGCTTTATTCAGTAGATGACACTGGAACAAACTCCCTGTAACAACATTCCAAATTACAATACTTTGGAACTTTGAGCATAGAAATTAACAAATTGCTTTTTAAAATGGTTGTCAAATTATTTTATTTAAATCCTGTTTTAGAAGTTAGAGATGTATTGTTTCTATTGGGTGCATATCACCAATTAATACGTTTGATTTCAGATCTACAGCTTACTGCTTTGTAAACTTCGTCGAGGTAAAATGAAACCATTTGGCTACTTGAACTGATCTCCACTACACAGGCGTTTTTCTAATGACATTTGCAGTAGATAACATGTCAGAACTAGAAGTAATGAAACAATACATCTTCCACAATCTGAATTGGCATAATGTTAAATATAATAAAAGATGTTTTAGAACTATGAAGTAAAAATTAACTGAAATATTGTTATAATTGAGAGTTACTGAGGATAGAACTTTCTCCATGTTAATATACTATAGCCATCATTTGCATATGTTAGAAGTAGGTCAGTTTGTAACAACTCAGTTTTCTAACTCAATGATGGTTAAAGAGTTTGATTTTTAAAAATTCATTGTTCTTAGTTGAAAATCATGCTTTATATATTCTTAATTATGTTTTAAAGGGTAAACTTTTAAGTTTTTGAAACAAATCATGTGCTGTTTCAAAGATACCTTATATTCTGTAACTCTGGGATTAGTAAATATATTTTTTAAATACATATTCCCTTTGTAATTTTTTATTTTTTCAACATATGGGTATTGACATGTATAAAAGTTTAAGTCTAAAGTTACTTTAGAAGGCTTTCCTAGATGTAAAAGTACTGTGGAGTAGTACATTGATTACAATGGTAGTGGTCTGAAGTATGTATTGTATTAGCTTCGTTCTTAACATCAGTAGTGTCTATATTAACATGCTTGCCTTTTATTTCTTTTCAGCAAGGAGTAAATAATGCTGAGAAATTTGACTATGTAAGTATTAACACCAAACTATGTTTATGCTTAATGTTCCTCCAGTATTTAATTCTGGTTACTAATACTTCTGATTTGGTTTGTAGGTGATGCAATTTTTGAATAAGATGGCTGGTAATGAATATGTCGGATTCAGTAATGCAACGTGAGTCTAATTTGTATTTTGGGTTTTAACAGTTGATCATAATTCTTTAAATTCACTGACAACTAGAATACAAAATGTTATTTTTAGTACTGTTTTGCTTCTTATATAAACACATATTTACACATATACACATATTTGTGTATACGCATGAAGTCTCTGTTTATGGCCCTAGAGCTTATTTCAGTGTATAGGTAATTACTCAGAACTTGGTCATTAGAAGGTAATCAAGTCGAAGACACATTTAAAAATGCTGTTCAAACGTTTTAATAAATGTCATATAGATAATTGTAGAGTCCGAAGGGGCCTTAAGTTTATCTCAGATACCTAGGCTTCTTTATTTTCTTTTTGGCTCTACTACCTGTCTTACCTCATTTCTCTGTGCTGACTAACTTGATTTTTTTTTTAACTCAAGTTTTTATTTTGAAAGTTTTTAGTCTACAGAAAATTGAAAGAAGGAACAAAGGATATATGTCTTTTATTCCTATTTAAGAATGTTTTGTCTCTTCTGTTTTTTCATTTTTTTTTTTAAACCTTTTTTTTTTTTAAATTTATTTATTTATTATATGTAAGTACACTGTAGCTGTCTTTAGACACCCATATGAGGGCACCAGATCTCATTGTAGATGGTTGTGAGCCACCATGTGGTTGCTGGGATTTGAACTCATGACCTCTAGAAGAGCAGTCAGTGCTCTTAACCGCTGAGCCATCTCACCAGCCCCCCTGTTTTTTCATTTTTAAAGATCTTAATTTGTTTATGTGTGTATGTGTTGTGTGTTTGTGTAGGAGTAAATTTAAATATGCACATCACATCTGTGCCTTAGATATGCACGCGTATGGCTGTCGGTTCGTTATTGAGTGTATTTCCCTAGTTGCTGTCCGCATTTACTTTTTATTTTGGGACGGAGTCTCTCAGTGAATTAGAAACAATCTATCTGGCTGTCTCAGGGGTCTCCCTGTCTCTGTCCCTCAAGCTCTGGGGTTACAGATCAGTGAGTCCCATCATGCTAGCTTTTTAGTTGGGTTCCGGGAACTTGATCTCAGATCTCAACACTTCACCAAGTGAGCCATCTCCCTAGCCTATTCCATTTTAGGAGGGGTTGTGAGAGGGAGGGAGAGAGGGAGGAGATATTTGTTTGTAGTTGATGTTTGTAAATAGAGATATCTCCAGATTTTTCTGTGCTGAATCGTTTAAAATCACGATGTTGTTTATACTTCACCCTTAAGTCACTCAGCATATATTCCAAGAGTAAGTATATATACATATAAGTTATGTGTTTATGTGTGTGTTGTAAAGGTGTGTGTATGTCTGTGTTAGGTGCCTATGGAAGCCAGAAGAGGGCATCAGATCCCTTGGAGCTGGAGATAAGTTAGTGAGAACCACCTAAGGAAGCCATGCCCTGCTCCTCGGGAAAAGCAGTAAATGTTCTTAAGTATTCTGCCACCTCTTCAGCCTCCTCGTTAGCTTACATAATCACATTGCTGTTAGTACAGTCAAGAACAGGACATTAATTATTTTATAAAATGATGTTAATTCAATAAATGAATGTCACCTAGGCATTCATAATTCAAGAGCTAATCAAATTTGTATATTTGTTACTGTTTAGTCTCTAAAGCCAGAACAGTTTGGTTTCTAGATCCTTGCATTTGAATTTTTCTTTTGTGAGGGTTGTATTTTTGTTTATTCATTCATTTTTGAAGATCAGGCTTTTAAAAGCTGGGACAGATGGATTATTTCCTTTGGAAGGACCAGTGGTTGCTGCTGCTTAGGTTAACCACTTTTTCCAGGAAGCTTTCTGGAGAGCTCATAAGAAGTTTTTCTTTCTTTCAGTAAGTTAAATTCTTTTTGTTTGGTTGAGGTTTTTTGGTTTGTTTGTTTGTTTGTTTGTTTGTTTTTAAGAGATAATAAACTGAGCCTTGTAGCACACAGCAAATCCTAGCTAATCAGCAGGCTGTTAAGCCTAGCCTAGATAACTTAGCAAAACTGTCTCCAAATAATAAGTAAAAGGAAGGCTGGGGAGATGGCTCATTGGTAGAGCACTTACGTGAAATGCCTCCTATATTCTCTAGTGCCAGGAAGGAAAGGAGAGAAAAACAGAGGTTAAGAGCTTTTCCGTATTTATTACTGTTTTCTGACCATAGAAATGTTAAAACTAATATTGAATGTCACTCTTATTTCTGTGACTACTCAGCAGAAATACCATTCTATTTCTGAACTCTTATAGGTTGATCTCTCGGATGTACTGTGTAATCTATTTTCATGATAGTGCGTTCTCTTTAATTCCCTTAGGGATCCCTTTGTAGACTATATTATAGAAAGCTTTAAGGCAAGACTACTGTGCCTATTCTGTTTCCTGTGAAAGAATTAATCACTGTTGAGATGTTTGATCATATAACTCCTCCTTGAATGCAGGCTTTCTTCAGCTCATTTCAGTAGTCTGCTATTTCACTCCTTTTTCTTTTCCTTTCCTCAACTACTGTCAGTTATCCTTTCAAAATACAGACCTGACTGGGAAACTTGTTTAAGTCTTCCTTCCAACTTGTGTTTTATGTTTTGATATTTAATACTTCTAAAATTTTGGTCCCCAAGGGTAAGAGAGATGAGATGGTTCATGGGTAAGATATGTGTCTGGTCTTCCAGAGGACTTGGGTTCACCCACATGGTAGCTAACAACCATATGCAACTCTAGTTCCAGGGGACCTGGTGACCTCTTCTGGCCGCCATGGAAACAAAGCACACAAGTGGTACACAGACATATATGCAGGCAAATCACACATAACATTAAAAAATATTTGACAGCTGGGCTATAGTGCGCATGCCTTTAATCACAGCACTTGACAGGTAGAGAGGCAGGTGGATTACTGAGTTCAAGCCCAACCTGGTCTACAAAGCAAGTACTAGGACAACCAGGGTGACATACAGTGTCTTAAAAAATAAAAAAGCAACAAAAAAAAAATTGTCCTGGTGGTTCTACTTTCATACTTTTGTAACTGTTCCTGCTTCATGGGATGTGACACTTTAATCCAGTGACTTTTCCAGGTTCCATTTTATGTGTCACTGTTGTGACAGTCCTGTCAGCTGCCTCAGGCACATTTCTACAAGACAACTTGACAAACCATTTCAGTTTATTTCAGTGAGAGCCAGTTTTGGCATTTTAAAATTAGCTTCTTTGTTCAGAATGTCTGAAGTTTTAGAAAGGATGAGTGGATGTTACTCCTTTCATAGTGAGAAAAGGCTTACTACTCAAAAGAATGTAACTGTTCTGTTGAGAGAACTGAGACAGAATCCAACAGTCCTGAGTGTTAGATCACCATCTTTATACTGTACTTTTGTTATACTATTCAAAAACATTCATAATTTTTTTTCTTCTAGATTTCAATCTGAACGAGAAAGTGGAGATCGAAACTTTGCAATAGGATATTACTTAAAAGAAAAGAAGGTTTAAAATTTTTTTCTATTCAAAGTTATTTTGTTTAATAAAATGACATCTAAGAACTCTAAATTGGCCTTTGGCCTTTAATTATATAAAGTGAAAAGTTTTTACAAAGCACTCGAGTCAGTGTTATTAACAAATATACTCATGTTGATATTTAAATTGTTTTTATGTATTTGGCAGTATTAAAATATTTGACAATATTAGTGCAAATTCTGGTCAGTTTGTTTCTTTTTTTAAGTACAATATCTGACTAGTGTTGATAAACCTTTAATTTTTTAAGAACTTTAAGATTCTCTGTGGCAATAAATTACAAATTGTTTAATCTTTGTCTCTAAAAAATAGAATTTAGGAATCTATATAACATGATGTAAATTTATTTTATAATTATACTCATTTATGAACTCCATACAATTCTGATGGCAAAGTGAAACTTATATACCTTTTAAAGTTAATACTGATGTATTTTATTGTGAGCTTTTTTGGTCTGTTTTTTTTTGTTGTTGTTGTTTTGTTTGTCCAAATTTTTATTGCTTTTCTGTATTTTTGGATTTTGCTCTTTTTCAGTGTTTTCCAGAAGGAACAGACATGGTTGGGATACTAGATTTTTATTTCCAGGTAATTTTTACTCTTGAGTTGTATGAATTATCTTTATAAGTAAATAGCTGTATCACATTTTACAAAATATAGATGTCTTGGAAATCCTGACTCTAGGCTATGAGAAAATAAATTTCCATTGTCTTTCAAAAGATGTCATGAAAGGCTGCTTCATATCCATATATCCTGTGAATCCACACATGAGAATGGAAGATACGAAACAGTGTAAAAATACATTTAGATGAAGATGGACAGTTTCAAAAACTGGTTTGCCTTCGGGAAACTGGTTTTCAGAGGGTTTCTAGCAGCATTTTGAAGTATCATTCTTTTCTGCTGTCTTGTTATTCTCTTAACTGCATTTTTTTTATCTGATTTAATTGGTGCTGAGAATTGTTCAGCACGTGCCTTCAGTGTCATGTAGTGTGCCTATGCCTCCAAATTAAGGTAATTCTCCATATCCATATCATGTCGAAAGCATCCCACACACATAACTTCCTGTGGTAAAGACACCAGTTTAGTACAGTCTTCTTGGAAATTCCTCTCTTCCCTGTGTATTTTTATCTAATCAAGCTGTAATGTGGAGATGTGTAGACTACATCTTTAATTTTCTAGTTTACTTTATATTTGTCTTTACCTGTGAGGTGCTTTGATTTTAACCTTATAGTATCTTTTAACTTGATGGGAGTGCAGGTCTCAGATTCTCATTTACTCAATGTGAGAGCTGTAGTGGGGATTCAGTCTATCAGTATAACATTAATTCAAGAATGACCCATTTCAATTCCCAGCATGTACAAACCCTGAACACATCATGAGACAAGAGTAACTCCTCAAAACTCACCTGAAGTTACTGTCATTTTTACTCTAATCTATAGACATTTAATTTGGGCTGTTATAGTTCTATTAGTACTACTAATCTACTGTGAAATTTCAGTTCTTTAGTACAGAAATCAAGAGTCACCCATAGAGGTATTACTATAGTTTATGGAGAACTGAATTTAACTAAGTGAGTATTGGGCTATCAGGAAATCGTTTTTAAATTGGCATTTGTCCAGTTAGGAGACTATTACTTTGTGACAACGAATTTGGTTAATACTAAATTAGGAAATGGTTAAGGGAATTTATTATGTTTTTAAAAGTATTTCCTTACTTAGGTAGTGATAATGGAAACTTAAATCCTCCATGACAAACAAAATTCTGATTAATACTACATATAAATTAGGAAGTGATCATGGGAATTTAAATTTTACTTCTGAAAATATTTCCCTACTCAGGCAGTGATAATAGGAATTTAAAGCTTCCCCTTCTCTCTTTTGAGATGGGTTCTGGCTGGCCTCCAACTCACTGTGCTGGCAGTGCTGGGATTGATGTTTACAACCATACCTGGCTAAACGTTACTTCTTTTAGAAACCATTTTCCTATTAAGTCTTTTGCTCTGTGGGCCAGTGTAACAACTCGATTATGGAAACTACTCTTCCCCTTTGGTTGCTGCTAATTAAAAATGAAATGTTAAGGAACATTATTTTAGGTTTATGGGTAACTTCAGGTTTTGTGAGGTGAATTATTAATGTTGTTGTTGATATATTTCAATGCTGGGGATCAAACTCAGGGCTTTGTTAACATGAAAGGCAAGAAGTATACCACTACTCAGAATACCCTTGGCTTTTATTTTACTTACCCTGATAACATTTACGTGCAAAACTTTCATTCTAGCTAGACTCTGTCTTTGTGCTCGTCATGTATAACTGCTGTCCACAGTAAATAGCAGGTGAATCTTGATTGATAGGGACTTCTAAAGGCAGCACTACGTAGATTCATGGCCCTGTATAAATAGCCCTGGTCACTACATAGCCCAGGCCAGGGCTGTCTTAAATATTCATTTCTCTTTGTCATTTGTTGCTCTGTAAATTGAAATACTAAGCTTTGTTATAATTAAAATATCAAGTGTGTTACCATCAACATATATCCCTTCCCCACATTTAGTAGTCATTTTTCATGCTGACACTATCTGCCATAATGCTGATGTGTTCTGTTTTATCTTAAAAGGTATTGTGGTGTATTTCTCTCTATAACACTAGCAGTAATATATAATAGGAGACATTAATATTTCAACTAGTGTGAATACTATATACAGTAATAACAAAGCTTAGGGCCTGGCTTGGGTCTTTCTCACTTAATTCAGTCACCAAAATATTATAAATTTGGACAAACCTAAATACATCTTAAAATGACTAGAAACTTAGGTCAGTTGAAATCTTAGAAATGTCAGTTTTAGAGTAAAACCACCCCTTTAGAAGACCTGAGAAAATGAAAGCACCATGAGCCTAAATTTTCAAAACTCGATTTTTTTCTTTGTTCTAGCTGTGCTCCATTGAGGTGACATGTGAATCAGCAAGTGTGATGGCTGCAACCTTGGCTAACGGCGGCTTCTGCCCGATTACTGGTGAAAGAGTACTCAGTCCTGAGGCAGTTCGGAATACACTGAGCTTGATGCATTCCTGTGGCATGTATGACTTCTCAGGGCAGTTTGCCTTCCATGTAAGTCATTGTTGATTTCCTCTTGCAGGGAACTAGTCTAGACTGGTACTTTTTAAAAGTCAGTTTGAACTTTGCTTCTCAAGGTGTATATTATTTTTGGAGAGAGGCTTGTTTTAGGTTAATTGGTTACAAATGAGTAAAGAGGAGAGTTAAAAAGATGTTAGTAAAATTTTAAAATTTCTTTAAGCATTGTACATTTGATACTTGTGAAATATGTAGGTATTTTTTATTTGATCCTCTATGTTAAGTTGCATCATAATATCCTTGTCTTGTGTTTTAAGAACTTTGTGTGTCTGTTTGTGCATTAGTGCCTATGCCTTGGCTCCAAGGATTGAGCTCAGGCCACCATACTTATTGTCTAGCTCCCTTATTTCTTTACTGAGCCATTTTGCAGACACTGTAAATTTTAGGTGTAGTAATGGATGTCATGTTATTCATCACACTTTTGGTAATTATGAATATATGATTCATCCTGATTGTGCATACTTGTTTTTTTTTTTAATCTTATATTCCAACATGTAATTATAAATACAGAGTGCAGCATTATACTGCCATTAAGTCTTAATTAGTGCATATTAAACTGTTACTCTTATAATTTAATATTACCACTAAATTTAATACAATATTTTATCATTGAGATTGCTTGTACAATTCTATAAACTATGGTTATATAATTCTTCATTTTGTTTGACTTGGAATGTAAATGAGGCTAAATTTTTTTCTTCTCTTTAAATTTATTTTTTTTGTTTCAGTATCTCTCATTAGAGATACACTCTAGTCTTTAGAGAGATACTGATATTTTTACCTGAAGACATTGAGTCATTCATTCCTGTATATTTCTTTTGACTAGACTTTCTTCTGTGCTTGTTCTGTTTTCCCTTGTATTTCTTTTTTTTTGTTTGTTTTATTTTTTTTGATTTTTTCGAGACAGGGTTTCTCTGTGTAGCCCTGGCTGTCCTGGAACTCACTCTGTAGACCAGGCTGGCCTCGAACTCAGAAATCCGCCTGCCTCTGCCTCCCAAGTGCTGGGATTAAAGGCGTGTACCACCACCGCCCGGCTTCCCTTGTATTTCTTATAATAAAAGTTTGAATTTTTTGAAGGGAATTAATTTGGATTAACATTTATCTCTAATTTTTGGCTATTTCTCAGGCAGTATGTTACAGAAAATCTTATAGAGAGTCAATACCTCGTGTTTTGTGGGGTTTTTTTTTTGGGGGGGGGTGTTTGTTTTGTTCTGTTTTGTTTTTTAGGATAATTAGAAAATACAGCTCTGTAAAATAAAAATACTCAGAGCCCCACAGTTCGGATTTAAGTACTTTAACTTACAAGATATCTTTATCTGCTTGTCTGTTCATTACTGGGAGACTAAAAGGTTGTGGCTATCTACCTGAGGACAGCTTGGAGGAGTCAGCTCGTTTGTCCTTCCATAGGTCTCGGGATTGAACTCAGGTGTCTGGGTTGGTCCTTTATGTGCCATAATTGTTAAACAGTTCTCAAACATAACCTTTATTAAAATATTGATATGAATGCCCTTTTATTTAAATTATTTTCAGGTTGGTCTTCCTGCAAAATCTGGAGTTGCCGGGGGTATTCTTTTAGTTGTTCCCAACGTCATGGGCATGATGTGTTGGTCTCCTCCTCTTGACAAGATGGGCAACAGTGTTAAAGGAATTCACTTCTGTCATGTAAGCAAAGTTTATTAGTCAGGATAAAACAGGGTAGCCATGTAAGCTAAGCTGTCCAGTGATTCCCTCTTTTACCATTTTTTTTTTAAATTTTTTAGTAGACCCTTGGTACTTTCCCACCCGTGAACTAGTTAAATAGGTGGTATTGGAGGTGGTTGTAGAAAAGCTTCAAATTGTCTTTATACAAACAGGTTCCATTTAATTATTCTTTCAGAAAATTCTGTTTACTTATGCTTAATTAATTAAATTGACTTAATGTGTGAGTGTTTTGCCTGCTTATATATGTGTACTATAACTAATATCCTCACAGGCCAGAAGAAACTGTTGTATTCCTCACACTGGAGTCACAGGCAGTTGTGAGCTGCCATGTGGGTACTGGGAATCAAATCGGGGTTCTCTGGAAGTACAGCCAAAGCTCTTAACTACTAAGTATTAATTTCCCAGATTATAATTTATTTTCAGTCTTCAAAAATTTAGCAATAGAGAGTTACAACTAAATCTCTATTCTTACCCTGATGTCAGTCCTCTTCCTGATTCTTTGGCCTGTTACACTAGCCTGCAAGTAGTTGCTAGGGGTAGCAGTGAAGCCACACAATATAAGAAATGACTTGTTGAAATATGAATAAACCCAGCGAGTAGCTGATTTCTTGTATGTATTCTCTGTCACTCTTTACAGGATCTTGTTTCTCTGTGTAACTTCCATAACTATGATAATTTGAGACACTTTGCAAAAAAACTTGATCCTCGGAGAGAAGGAGGTGATCAAAGGGTAAGCCAGTCCTTCCTTCGATCTTTCTCAGTGTCCTTTAAGACAAGGGATAGTTCTTCCTTCAATCCTTCTCAGTGTCCTCTAAGACAAGGGATAAGCCAGTCCTTCCTTTGATCCTTCTCAGTGTCCTCTAAGACAAGGACGTAGCCTCTTCTGCTCATGTAAAATTTCAGCTTGTTAACAGCCTCAAATCTTTGCCAATTTCAAATAAATAAGTTATTTTTATTGTCTGTCATAGATATTAAAATCATTTGTGATATTTAAACTGGAAATTGTTGGCTTAGCAGTGCTGGTTTTCTACTGCTTTTATAGAATTGTTTTATAATCGATTACATTGAAAATATTGGAAGATATTATATACTATGAATCTAATTTTTAAAGCCTTGTTTTTACTCCTAATATTTGTCAGTTATTGTTTGGGATTAAATTTAGCTCATTGTCTAGTCTGTGCATGGATATGTAAATGGACAGGTATATGAGACTAAATAAGAAAAGGCCACTGGAGACAACAGTTCTTCCAGAACATGTTTAATGATGATTTTGATGGTAGAAACAAGAAAACTGTACTACTCTATGCTAAATCCCGTAAGGTCTTGTTCAGTATCACTGCATGTGGCCTCATGTGCATAAACATTTCTTTTTTTAGAGCTAGTCTTAAGATCAGAATGTAAGTTTTCTTTTTTTTTTTTCCATTGGGCCAAAGGACTAGCTGTTGAGAATTTCAATTCCATTCCTTTGCATCCCACATGAAGAAAATGTGCAGTAAAATTACCTTGTACACTAGAAACACACTTACAAATAGTATTTTTAATATGTACTAAGTACATTTTTTAAGTGCCAACTTAAATTTGTGTTAGTTACAATCAGAGTAACCTTTACTAATATCTGAGAACTTTGAGACGCTGGCAGTTCAGTAGGAGCTTTCCTGCCAACATGAGTTACATGTCACAGGATGTCAGACGGTGATGGGTGAAGATGTTAATGGATCTTAATAACTAACTTTCATTGAAAAATACATTTTATAGCTTGGACCTTTCATCACTCAAGTGCACTAATAAATTGTGTATGTTGCTTGAATAACTAGCATTCCTTTGGACCATTGGACTATGAGAGTCTCCAGCAAGAACTTGCTTTAAAAGACACAGTGTGGAAAAAAGTGTCACCTGAGTCAAGTGACGACACCTCTACAACTGTAGTGTATAGAATGGAGAGTCTGGGGGAGAGGCGCTAGAGATGGGCTCTAGCTGCAGAACGTTTCTCCTTTTAACATCGGAAACATCTTTAGGCTTTTGTTTTTGTTTCTTGTTTATTTTTCCAAACTAAGTATTTATTCAAGTATTCAATTGTTATCAACCTTGGGTACTCGAGCCATAAACTTAAAAAAAATTTTTTTCTGCTTGTAATCTTTGTATAAAAAACATTTGTTAATTTTTAAAAGAGCATTTACAAATAAAGCAAATTTGCTTTATTTTTTAGAACTTCAAAAAAAACGCAATTTTCTTAACTAAAATTTTAACTATATATAATTTGGTAACCACATTGTGTTTCTTATATTAAGCTGAGAAGTATTGTTGGATTTGTCTTTTCCTTTCTAGTTTATAATTGATAGGATATTGGTAGTGACAGAAAGACTTCCATGCTAAATACAAAACTAAAAAGGCAAAGTAATCAAAATTATTTTATTTAAACGAGTAGTAGATTATAAAATTAGCTTTAGTTTTTACACATATGCCAGTTATAGTGGTAGATTGGCTTTGACTATTTAAAATGCAAATTCTTTTAAATATGTCTTTTTTTTTGTTTAAAACTCTTCTGTCCTGTCAGAATCACAGTGTATTAGGAATGTTTCAGATCACTGAAACACTCCAGCCAAAGAATTGCAGATGTGTGAGACTGGCATGCTCGGTTATAAAAGCTATAATGGTTAGTTGCTCAGAAAAAGACACAGTGACTATCTTCAAAATGGATTGTATTTTCATATTATTCATGTAATTTTTTTGTTGTGTTTAAGTATGAACGGTAAATTTTGCTTTTTTAGCTTTTAGTAATTTTATTGTTTCATAAGTCCTAATGAATATTTTTGTGATAACATCTCATAAATTTTGTTCTTTTTGAACTTTTATTTATTAGTGTACTTATGAAATAACATAGTCTGAAGGTGTTAAGTATACAACTAAAGTATTTGTTGAATTTGAATGCTTCTGTTTATTTTTCAAATGCAGTATTGAGAATCAAAACTTTTTTAAAGAGAACCATAGATTCCATTTAATCTGGTTGTAAACAAATATACATATTTTTAAAATCTATCTTGACAAAGTGATATTAAAGTTCTGAAGGATTGATTTACATGTCTTCCTTCATGTATTTTGTTTTTCTCACAATTTCAAGTTTGTTTTTTCAAATTCACTTTTCAACTTGTATATTTTGGGCAAGTGGTTGAGAATGAAAGCCTATGACTTTCTAAACTTATGACAGATGTACAGTCGAGCAGAGTCTGTAACTAAAGTGTGGGAAACATATCTCACTAATGTAGATTCTAAGTAAGATACAGGAAGGTCCTCAGGATCTGATTTGAATTGGAAACTCTGATACTAAGAAAAGGTTTCTTCTCAGAAGTTTGACCTTAAAAACCTTTGGGCTAATTTAAGTATTAGTATTTGTATTTAAATAATGACATGGTGAGTTTTAGAAAAGGCTTGCTCTTCTGTTCCTTTGGTGTTCATTTGCAGTTCCTAGCTGGATGCTTTAAAGTCTTGCACTGCCCTGACTGTCAACACTGAGCATGCCTTATTCTTCTATCCAGTGTTATCTGTGGCTCAGGCACTTGAACATCTTAATTGGAAAAAAGGTTTTAGGGTTTTTTTTCTTTCTCCATTTTCTATGTGTACATTTTGCTGTTTCATTCAGAAGTTGGATTTACTTTACAAAATGACTTAATTTTCATATCATATGCATGTTTGTGTAAAGTTTAAACTATTTTGTTAATTTTTGGCACTTCCTATATATAATTCTAATAATGCTTGAATGTACACTTAAATATGAAGTAGCATTAAGTCAGCTGCTGTGTTTATAAAGAATGCTGTTAAGAACAAGCATTCAAAAATGTGTATAGGAAGGTATTAGTGTAAGAGGAGGTAAGATACTGTGAATGTATCTACAGACAAGAAAAGGAAAGAAAAGCTTTGCCAGTTTGTGGATTTATCTTAATTCCCTTCAGATATTCTCAGTCTCTTTTCAAATAAAGTTCTTTGAGAAGTACCCAGTATTGTTGGGCTTAATTTTTCCTGCCATTATTGATTCTTGATATTCAAGCATTTACATGACAGCATATTTTTTCTTTTCCTTTTTTCTGTTTTCTTTTGCCATCATTAACATTTCATTTGAAATGCATATTCTTGAAGTATTTTGTTTTTAGCATAAATGTTGTGCATTTTATCTTAGCGTTTGGATTAAAACATTTGTGTTGTTGAGCTTTCTTCATTTGCTTTGTATATTTAATAATGTACCTTTATTTTCCAGTATGCCTATTTTTTGTATTGTACAATAAATTTATTTTAAGCTGATTTTATTGTTTTTTTTAATATGTATGTAAAAACACATGTGTTACTTAAAATACAAAAACACCCAAAACAACAAAACAAAACACTTGGGGTTTTAACTTAGAAAATAATTATCTTTTGTGAAGGTATTTACTGTTCTGAAGACTGCCTGGAAAGGAAACTAGAAACCAGAAATCCTTCATTTGAGTTTTAACTTTTAATGAAGTATAGTTGGGAGGAATTTTCCCATTGGCTATACTTAAATTATTTAAATAAAGACTTGACTGACCTGGCCCTAGTCACATAAAAAAAGAAAGGAAAAGAAACAAGAAAACACTTTACTCTGTTTGTAGGCTGTTTCTGCTTCTGAGGGAGAATATAACTGATATCATTTGTTGTTTAAATAGTAGGGGGAACCATTGCCAAATCAATAAGATGTATTGCTTTGGTTAGAATAACATTGTTGTTCTCAGTACAGTAGAATTTATATGGAGTGGGCTGACTAATACAGAAGTCTACGTTTAGGAGCTTTTTACTTGTTTGAGATTATCATCCAAATTACATAAATTGAATATATGCACTGATGGCACATTTTTCTGTTTGACTAGGTCATATTTTAGAGGGATTCCCTAAATATATTTTAAATATTTTTGAAAAGGAGAGTATTCTTGTTTGTGTTAATTAGCATTAATAGATGGTATTTAAAAAATAACTTTCAGTACTAATTAACAAGTTTCAGTATAGTTCATGTTATATTTATAATAATGTGTGTTTACTTAAGCTAAAGATACATTTCTTAACCCATTGAAAGCAAAGGGAAAAGAGAAAATGCTGCTTGGACAGTGTGTGTGTGTGTGTGTGTCTGTTTGTCTGTCTCCTGGGTGTCCTTGTTTAAATTTACCAATTCTGAAAATGACCACCTGTTTCCATGTAGTCTATTAGAAAAGCCTAGTTCTATTAATATTGACTTTAAAGATTTGTGGTTTGTCTTGTTGCTGTTCTTAATCAATGCCAGTTCTGTTGGCCCAGAGAGTAACTAAAATAAATAATAAATGCCACTCTCAGCTTAAACAGTTCACTTTATGGAATGGTTTTATTTAATTAACTACAAATTTGAGTTAGAAGAATCTGCTTTATTGCTTACTTTTTTTTAAGAGTTTTGATTTGTCTCCTAAATGAACTTAAGTTGAAGAATGAAATTTTAAAAAGAGTTATAATTAGTTTACTTATATGTGATTCTACTCTCCAATACCCCCAGTTTTCCACTATGTTCTATGTGTATTGTGTTTGTGTACAGATAGATGAGAAACAGATTTAAGAAATATTTACCATTTCTGTTTTCTACATTTTGTTTTTATCTTAGTGCTTTTAAGTTGTGATTAATAGATTTTTAAGTATTCATATATCATATTTATAAAGCATAACTTTGTTTAAAACTTCAGTAATGACTTAGCTTCCTAA